CTGCTCTCCATTGCCATCCTCTACGCCAATAGCGGTTCATCTTAAAGACAGAGTCGACGGCAGGTAGGTGGCAAGTATGGAGTACAGTTATCTCTTTCACTCCATACGGGAGTACTCATTTTCATTTTTCATGAGCCGACCGAGAGCCTCGACTTTGGCATTGCACCTCTCTGTTCTGGACCCGACGCTTTACCGATCTTCTACCGTATATACGTGTAAATAGAACCTCAGTACAGCGGTTATCAAATCTCTTTCCTCCATTCCTTGCCGTACCTGATCCGAAAATCGAACGTGGATATGAGAAACACGGTAAAAACAGTTTCAAGCTTAAATCGGCACCTCCTACTTGCCATAATGTAGGCTCACCTTCATAGAGGTTCGACCAAGGAATGACGACGAGAAGAAAGACTGTCGAGCAATCTGACATAAGCTGAGCAACGCCGCCGTCGGTCATACAAAATCGTTAACCGAGAGGTCGTAGGGAAACAAGCAGTCGCGAAAATCGACGGTAAAAATACGATTTCCACGGATAAGGTTCTGACAGATGTGCAACGTTAAACTAATTCGATTTCACTATCGATCTGACACTCTCTGAAAAGTCTGAATCAGGTTGATTACCATTCACAGCTTTCGGCTAGAATTTTACGCAGCTGATAATTAGCCTCAATTATTCAGAAATCAACGCTAAATAGTGTAAATGGCACGTAACGCGTGTGTCTCTGCGCCATCACTATTATTGAGGACAAAATGCCCGTCGCATTACCTTACCCTCAGGTCAGATTTTACAGTTCTATTTCGATACGGCTGAAAATATTGATTTTAGTGTACAACCGACAACTACGTCCAGCATGACAAGCCAGATAAGATGTCCTGGGTTCATAGGTACATTGCGGATTTTAAGAACTAGGTTATCTGCTAGGTTTTCACGCTATGGTCGCCAGTAGCCAATAATGGTGATTGCATTTTAGCGATATGTGGTAGGGCACTGTTAGACAGTACGGTGTAAAATTAATCCTACAACTAATTGTGACCCTTGTTCAAAGAATAAACGGCACTGTCAATCGCCACATCTTTCAAACGTGTGAAATTTAGATGGTCGGAACGATATGAAGACGATTTTGGCCGTCCAATTGTGTCTTCTCGTTTTCTTCTCTCCACCCCTCTGAAGCAGCAGGCTAACCTTCGTTTTTCTACCTTCTCTAGGGGGCGGTCATTTCTTTTCATAATGCGACTTATGCACCGTAATTTTCGTTCGTATTCATTTTTCAGCAGCGAACTTTGCATTCAGTATGCCACAAGATCCGTGCATTGATTCCAAGACATTTCAAAAAGACTCCAGCAGTTATCCTAACAAGTGCATCTTAACACTTTTGAGGACTTGCGTCTTACCTTCGTTATGTTCAATGTTTTAAACTGGTTCACTGCAACCGAAGGCGAATTTAGCTAATGCAAAAAAGGGCCGACAATATGTACAAGAAGACATAATCAGACCGTTAGCCTAGTGGGTGAAAATGAGTCGTGAACTGGTTATGGTGAATGGCGAGGCAGTTAGCAACCTACACCGTAGATGACGTAACCTTCATATTCACGATCAGCGGCACCGATGGTACTCACACGGTATGTGGCTACAGTAAGGGGATCATGAAGAACACAAAGTGAATCCCATTTTGTATACAAAATAAATGATTTTATTCGCAACTGCTAGTTTTCGATACCACCGGTAAGAATAGCATTATCCTGTTAATTCTCTGGATCGCCTAAACCGACCCTTACTGGTAGTAACGTAAAAGGCCGTTTATGCAAGCCATGGCCCCGTGATATTTTATAACCTGTAGTGCAAGGATTAAGGAAATGGCACGAGTGTGTACGCCATGTAACTCCGGAGAATCAACAGGTGAATTTCATAAATTTATTAATTTCATACGAGCATCAGCTTGTTTTGATCCACCCAAAGATGAAAATCCCTCCAACAGTTGCCATAAAGTACTGTTTTCTGCTACTCTTGATTCTTGAAATTGTTCACTTCATCTTGTCATCGACCTTGAGGCCTTGCTAAGGCAGCTTACTCTCGTAAAACCCATTCTAATGACTCTGACCCAATGAGGGTCGGTTCTTCTTGTCCATTGTTCATCTTGTCCATTGCCATTTTAACTTCATCAGTCGCGCAGTCAAATCAAAGGCTCTTGTTCGTGCTCTTAGCCTTTCCCTTGCCTTCCTGTTTTTATTAATTCCAACATGCACCTTTACATGCCGCATTGTGCAATCTGCAGTTCATGATTTATTTCATGTGAAGAAAATTAATTAAGCGGCCAATTAGTTATAATTCATCATGATTTACAACTAGATAAAGACATTGTTTTTCTACTTACTTGTACCTCACAGTTTCCACCATGTTTTCAATGCAAAGCAAAGTAATACAAATAGAAATACGTTATAATAAATACATTAAACATAGTATGCATGACAGATAGTTGAACAATGTGTGCTTAATGCTAACAATCTATCGAATGAAAATGAAATCCTACAGTTAATTTAATTACTTATCATTGCCTCTGTCAGGTCTGTGTCGTTGTAGGCATGAATACAGTTGTTCTAATAAAAAAGCAAAATCGATAGTTGAACGGCATGCAGCAGCGTTGGCTCCGGCGCGTAATGAAAGTTAAATGGTAGGGCCGCGTCAGGAGTGACTTTATTCTTTTCATGGAACAGGTGCCTTCAGTAGATATGAAACGAGAGTTAGCGTTGTGGGACAAGCAAACTGGATGAACGTACATCATTCACTTCAGCCGGTTAGCCTCCAAAATACGGTAGATGTCGACCAAGAGACCAGCATGCGACATGGAGAAACAAGATGCACCAAATCTGTATTAGAAGAGGAAACTTTTATCTAGCAAAAATGTTGTAAAGTTGCGAAGACAACGGAGATGACAAATCATAGGGGCGTTCTGCTCATAAAAATGACTCAAGGTGATCATTTTAAGAAGCACACATGGGCACAACACCCTTATTATTTGACTACTTTAAAAACTCTTATAATTACTTTCAAGATAATATGACTAAATGATGTTTCTATGAATTATCAGGTGTCATTCTCGAAGGAGAAGAAGAAGAAAAACACATAAACCTGCCATAAGGAACTGTGAACATTGAACATCCGGTTCTGTCAATATCTCTGTGAAGCGGAATCATGGACGATAATAGCGTGCAAATATGTGCGTTTGATGTACACCCCATGGTGTTTGTACTTATGTAGAGCTTTTACCTCAATAAAATTTTATAGTACCAGTATCTCTGGTACGGATGAAAAACCCGGTCGCTCCTTTTGTAGGAAAACTATATACAGCAACATATATCGAGAGGTCGCTTTGTCGCTCTCAGATGACTCGAGCTGCAGCACCCGAAGATCAACAAGCCATATTCACGTGGACTGGGATATATAAGGCCAAAACGACACTGTTGCCTGTCACTCGATAAAGCCACCCCTTCGCGATGCCGTTAGAATAAACTGTTATTGTGTTGTTATTCAGTATGTCCACCAGAGCGCGAGCAAAATACCGCAATTGTACAAACCATCTTTATTTACTACTTCAGTCGGTTTTCAGTGGCTTTAAAACTAACACTAACTAAGTTTCATACACCCAAGTAATCTGCGGACAGAACAAAATGGAAGGGATGCCAGAAAACAGTTCTGTGGCATAATTTGAATAAGTTAATAATGAATTGCTAACGAAAGGTGTAAATACGTAATTGACGCCGTCGAAAAGATCATAGCGCATGAGCAATCGATGGTTTTTGTCGTTCAGGGCTCATATGATATGACATGGCAATGAAAAACGCTGCATGTGAGAGGGCAGAGCAGACGTCTGCTAATTTTACAGAGGTAAAGAAAATGAATTGCTGGCAGTTTTAAAATGGGTTATGAATAAATGCCAGGAAATACTTCGAGAACGTTATCCTACCCTCGTAACTGAAAATTTTAAGCACTGGACTATGCCTCGCGTAATCCGGACCCTTCGGAATCTGGATGATTTGAAAGCATGGTCCAATCCAACGCATC